AAAGGTGAAGAAACTGAGGAGCAAAGAAGTCCCAATGGTTAAAGTACTTTGGAAGAGCGATCGGGTCGAAGAAGAGACATGGGAAACAGAGGCTTTGATGAGGAAGCAATATGCCTTCCTATTCAAGTAGAGCTGTGAATTTCAGGGACGAAATTCCTGTTAAGGGGGGGTGAACTTGTGACACCGCACCCGAGCGTCCTAGAAAATTCACTTTAAGATTCAAAGTTATGTATTGAATTTCCGTGTTACCAAACAATTGTAGAACAAGTTATGTTTTACGTAGTGCATGATTGAATATTGTACTGTTCAAACTCGTATATTAGTGTCGGGTTTTGCAAATACTTATTTGGGCCTTATTAATGAACATAAGAGCCCAACATTACTTAAATATTGTTACTTAACCTTTCAAGACAATTTGAGGAAGGTCGGGCGGCCCAAATATTATTTTGGGCCCAACCTGCTAAAAATAACAAGTATTCGAGAATGGCGTCCTAGACCCACTCGGGAGTGACCCACACGGCTAGTAGCCCAATAATATGTATGACAAATGTCAAAATAAGTGATAGAATGATTGGAGAAGAATACAAATACCTATAGCCCCATCTTTGACATTATTGAACTAAATAATGGGAGGAGGATTTTCCTTCTATGATATCCATCAAGTAAATTATTGAGATGAGCCTACACATATTGGAGATCAATAATGTTATGTAGGGAGTTGACTTGTTCTAAATAAATTAGGATGAGTACAAAAGACATCTTTGACAAAGGATAAAACAATAGGACCCATCTTCCCATTTTTGGAAGTATTGGTAGATATTTTGGACCCCAAATTGATTGGGATCAATTGGGAACCACTCCACATGACTTGAGTACCTGCAAGACAAAGAAAAAAATGAGTGAGATGACTATATGGGGCGAGCATGTTGACTTAAGAGCAATACATTACAAAAAGGAAATAAAGGTGGAGGTCCACCTCACATTTGATTGCAAACCAATGTCTCCCATGCTCTCTTGTAAGCCACATGCTTTGGTAACATGATTGAGAGCTCTTGTACACTCCCACAACCCTCCATACGAACCCAAAGAAAGATAAGAGAGGAAAAAGGAGCCACACAACCCAAGAGAGGAGGAAAGAAGGTAACTGTCCGCAGGAAAACTTCCAGTGCGTAAGGCTGATTGTTTGCTTCATATCTTGAGCTCCAATAGTCCAAATAAGGCGTGTAAGGTGTCTTCTGAAAGCTCTCAAGACGAGGAATCCGTGAAGGTCTGTTTTGCAGCAAACGGAGCAGTTTAAGGCTCCCAAATCACCAAAGGCAGAAGCTACCTCGCAGAATACAGTTTTGTATTCAAAGAAACGAGTTAGCCGGAAAACACCCGTTCTAGGGGCTGTTTTCGTACCAACGATTAAGGGTTGAACTAGCACTTGAGGAGGCTGTTTGACACTCATTTCTAAGCAAGGAATCAGTTCTCAAGCTTCCTTGGCCGAGGCTTTGGTCATTGGATCGAGAAGGAAAGTTTTAAAGCTCATTTGAGGTGAGGATCGACATCTAGTTGCTTACAACTTGTAGGTTAAGCATAAGATTACCTAAATGCCTAAATCATGTTTTCCATGGATTATGATGATAAATTGTTGATGGAACATTGATCTATTTTCCAAAGAATGAAATGGGAAATGATTTGGTAAAGTATTGATAAAAATGGAGTTAAATGAACTATTGTGTGAAATAGGCATTTTACTCATGTGTGAATTGTGTAGATACATAAATGATTATTTATGTATTACATTGGATGATTTAGTTGCTGCTACATATCTCTAAATATGTAGGGTTTTACAAATGGAATATATGATGGATAAGAATAATCTTAATAGTATTGAAATACTAGTTAATGATTGTTGTAATTGTTAAGGAATTGAATCTAAGGATTTGATTGTAATTGATGTACTTGATTGTGATGCAAGTGGCTAAATTGATGTAATGTGATGCTAAGATCATGGTTGGGCAGTCCGTAAGGATGTCCCAAAATAGATTATTGATATTATAAATTCTAGGCATAGCGAGTGCTTAGGAATTGGGGTCTATGCCAATGTAAGGAGATGTACTTGAGCCCGTGCTCATAGAATTGCATTGGGTAGACATGATGTGGTGATTGATGTGCATGGTGATGTAGTTGAGTTGGACTCAAGAAATGCACGGTGGAGTAAGTAACTTGTGTTAAATAAGGTGCATGGTGATGTAGTGGAGTTGGACTCGAGAAATGCGACCATATGTGTTAGGGTTGAACCCTATGTATTGTTGTGACTAGGGGTCACGGGGTTTGGGCTATGTTTGGTAAACAAACCTTGGGCCTACGGGCCGACTACTTGACTTTATATATAAAGTAAGTATAATTTGAAAATGGGTAACTTGGGGTTACGGCCTAGATTATATTATCACCCTATTTGAGGGTCTTGTGTTTGAAATACTTGTTGTATATCTATTAGATGCCATCCACACCAGCACTTTATAGCCCTATAGAGTGCTGACCCCTTCGGGGGCGTCCCACTACCATTTTTCAGGTTGAGGCTCGAGCTTGCTACTTGTGCCCGTTGCTCGGGTGATCCTTTGGAGAGAAGACGTGGTTCGTGCTTTCTCCATTCTGTTTTGAACAATATTAAACATGGTCATGGATATTTTACTTTAGAGCATGCGTGCTCATGAATAGCCATGTGTGGCCCTTTTGTTTTAAACAATGTTTTCCGCTGCGTTATGAATTACTTATTATGTTTGTTTATGGATGTTATACGTGTGAATGATATTCAAGACGCCTTGTATAATATGAATGTGTTGGACTGCGGTTTACTATTCGTATTGTACGGCGGGTTGTTGACGTGTCCGGGGAGGTCCGGGGCGTGACAATTACGTTGGTATCAGAGCCTTAGTCCATAAACTTCATAACGAAGTCTCAAAATTCCTTTTTTCAAAATGATTTTGAAAACCATGAGCATAGAAAATGTTTTGTACTTAAGAACTTTTGGTGTTTGAGTTGCAAGGTCTCTAATTGTTAAGATGGCGCCCTTAACGATTGGTATGGCGGTGACTTGGCCCAAGAGATGTCTTAAGTGCCTATCTGTCAGTTGACATTTGAAACGAGTCTAATGACTCATTCTAATTATTTCTTTCAGCGATGGAGGGTGATGGTGGTATTATGAATAGGGAGAACTCGGAAGGGTTTGCACCGGGTGGAACCGGGCATGCCAACCGAGAAAAGCCCTTAGGACCAAAGGTGCACGAAATTCTTGAAGATCAAATCGTGAGTGGTGGTCATGTTAAGACCAGGGAAGAATCACCTTGTTATGGCAAAATTGAACCACTCAAGGCTTCGGGTGACGAAGGAGATGATTTGAGTGATGAGGACCTTGATGGTGCACCCATTGAACAAATGGGCATGGTCATAGATTGGCTTCAACGTGAACGTGTCAGGCTTATACAAAAACGCCAAGCTAGGCAAGTTGAGGGCATACCATTAGTAAGGAAAAGGAAGCGGGGAGACAACGATTCCCAAAGACATTCAAGGAGGACAAACGTTGAGGGTGACAAAACCTTCAGGGCGCAGACACTATCACTTGAGTGGAGTCGAGGCTCGGGTGGCCAGAACTCGAGGTAAAAAGGTCTGAGGGTACCTAAGTGCAACAATTGCAAGAAACACCACTCGGGTAAGTGTCAGGACCCTCCCAGGTGCTATCAATGCACAGAGGCCGGGCACACGAGAGTGAGCTGCCCACAAATTGTGCAAAACCAAACTTCGGGGTCAAGTGGTGGAACTACAAGAAATGAAAACCAAACCGAGGTTTCTCAAGGGAGCAGGGGACATGGGGGAGCAAGCACGAGCAACGCGCCATCCGTGAACCAAGGAAGGACCCAAGCTAGGGTCTATGCGATGACGGAGGCGGATGCTCAAGCTAACCCGGATTCCGTTGCAGGTATTACCTCTTGTATACTTGTGTTTTATCCTTAATTAGTCCATAAATTGAGGTTACTAGTCGTTGGGATCGTTGCACGAAGCTTTGGGGTCGAACCGGGAGGATTTCGGGCTTATATACTAATTTAATGATAGAAATAAAGAGTAATTTAATGCGTCATATTTTTCAATAATTTAAAATGTACGAAATAGTTGGAATTCACAAACACAAAAAGTAAAAAAAAATTACATTGCCAGTTTGAGCATAATGAGAGAGATGTTTTAGAGAATAATTGACATTACTATAGCTGTGAGTTTGGTCAACCGCCGCAATATTATTTTTCCTTTGGGGTCCTTGTATGGGTGGAGTGCAAGAGTAATACAATAGTAATATCAAAAGATATTATGATGATTTAAGGAACGAATTTATTAAAACTAATGACTATTAAATAATTAAGGATTGTATAAGGCATAATAATTTGTAATCAATATAAATAATATTGAGCCACTAAACATTTTACTAATGTTGTAGTTGTACAGTTGTACTACTCCATTAGACTTCAGTTTGATGAAGTTTTTTAAATAAAATACGTATCAATACGTACAATACGTGTATTATACATTTTATCCTTAAAGTACGTGAAATTTTCATATTCTTAAAAAAAAATCATCAAAGAAAGTATTATACATGAATTATATTATACATAAATTATTGGCGAATAAATTAACAAAGCTTGTTACTATGGAGCACGGAGTTTTTTTTTGGCTGGATGGAGATTTGAGAGTCATATTTTTGTTTTTAAACATTTCGCCTCATTCGAACTGGTTTTGGAGCCAAACATGCGAAAATAGTGAAACTTGAAGGCGGGAAGTTTTGTGAATTCAGGATCGCTTCCTATTGGTCCATAACAGACGCCCGGATTACCACCTTAGCGTTTCTCCACCGTCGATTAAATCAAATCAACAGCCGAACGATCCCAACCCCAAACCAAGCTGCCATACTGACTCAGCTACTCCGTATAAAGCAAAGAGAGGACGCCGATTCAAACCGTACCAGTCCATCGCCGATCTTTCTCCTTCACCGTCAAAAGCTCCAATGGATACGCAACCCACGAAAGCCAAGAAGGGCGCCGCCGGCAGGAAACTTGGCGGCCCGAAGAAGAAGCCCGTCACTCGTTCCGTCCGCGCCGGACTTCAATTCCCGGTGGGGAGAATCGGTCGCTACCTGAAGAAGGGCCGGTACGCCCAACGTGTCGGTACCGGAGCTCCGGTCTACCTCGCCGCCGTTCTCGAATACCTGGCCGCCGAAGTAAGTTCTTCCCGCCCCTCCCCTCCATTTCCCCTCTCCATTTCATGTTTCTGATTAGATTTTTATTAATCTTCTCCGGTGGGTTGTTGTGCACAGGTATTGGAGTTGGCCGGAAATGCCGCCCGGGACAACAAGAAGAACAGAATCATCCCCAGGCACATTCTTCTGGCAGTCAGGAACGACGAAGAGCTCGGGAGGTTGCTCGGTGGAGTGACGATTGCGCACGGCGGGGTTCTGCCGAACATCAACCCGGTTTTGCTGCCCAAGAAGAAAGACAGCGACGCTACCGGAAAGGAACCAAAGAAGAGCACCCCAAAGTCGCCGAAGAAGACTGATGCTTAAACGTGTTGAGTAGTGCCCTGTTCTGGAGGACTGCCTGGTTTATTTTGCCTGTAGATTGTTCTGTTCGATCAAGTAATAGATGTATACAAGGCTTACCTTTTGTTTAGATCTGTCTAAAGTTTTGATTATCTATTAATGAAAGCATCTTGTTTTATCCCTTGTTCTGCTTGAAATCTTACATAACTAAGAATTGTTATCTTAGAACATCTTGATTTATTGAGAAACATATGAAATTTTGTTTTCGAAAGCATAGAACATCTTTCAAGTTCATGACATGATTCTTAATGAAGTGGTTGAAAAAGTAAAAGTTGTGGTTGAGGTTTGAGTATAATAAAGTGAAATGGTGTAGATCATATATAATAAAGGAAAGGAGACACTTATTTTGGGACAACTCAAAAAGAAAAGTAGAACAGGTAAAATGGGACGGAGGGAGTATAATTTTATCATAAATCCTTACTCTTTAAGATGAAAATCCATTGCTACACATCAGAGTTTTTGCAGATTTTATTATTGGGGAAAGAAACATAAATTTATGAAGTGCTAGAATGTAGAAAACAATCCAGACAGAAACCCGCGTTTAGGAACTATGAATCTCTAACGAGTAACGTATGAACTTTATATCTATGAATAACTAGGATTCATTAATATTTGAAGTTTTTAGTTCAACCTAAGCCATACCAGCTTCTTTGCCTTTCGTTGGAATTTCTACATTTTTTCTTAAACATTTACGTAGTATTATTATACCGAGTAGCTTGGATCCGGGGTGTCTGCCTTACTTCGGAGTAAGGCACTCTGCCCGGCTTTTCACCACCGCCCGATCAATATTTGGACGGTCGAAGATTTCGAAGTCTGAATCTCGAGGCCTCACCTTCCTCATCCGACGGCTACCTTGCGGCAAGGTCCTCTGCCGCACGGCAGAGGATCCCCATCCGAGTAGCTTTGAGAAGCAAAATTTGCACTACAACAGGTGTTTCCGAACTGCAAATACTTTTGGCGTCCTGAGTAAACATGTTTTCAATTATAGAATGAGTCAATTCCCTAAATAGGACTAAAAAGTGGCAAAATTGCACAAATAGGACTACATTTTTTAAATTTCCTTAATAGGACTATTTATGTGTGTTTGGACAAATATACACTTGTAACTTGTGAAATGTTTTAATTAATAATAAAATAATAAAAACAATAATAAAATCGAAAAAAATACTAAAAAACGTAAAAAAAATCATACAGAATTAATAAAAATATTTTTTAAAAAATTTAAAAAAATATTTTTTTTAAAAAAATTAAATAAAAATTAAAAAAACGTAAAATTTAAAAAAAAACATTACCACCCGTGGCACCACCAGCTCCCATCATCGGAGAAAAATATGCCAACATTTTAAATAATGCCATAATGATGGCATATTCAATGAAAATGTTGGCATATTGAAGAGTAATTATGCCATCTTTTTGGCATTTTCAGAAAAAGATGGCAGTTTTTTACCAAAAGTGGAAGAAATTTCACCAATCGGAGGTGGTGGTGCTGGGAGGCGGCGGGAGACGGTGGGAAAGGTATCCATAATTTTTTTTTTCATTTTTTATGGGTTTTTACTATTTTTTATTATTTTATAAAAAAATTAAAAAAAATAAAAATTAATTTTTTTATTTTATAAATGTTTTATAAATGTTTTATAATTTTTTTACGTTTTTTAAATATTTTTTTACGTTTTTTATGATTTTATTACGAATTAAAGTATTTCATTATGAATTAATACTCTTAGGGGTATTTAGGGTAGAAAATCAATGTTTAGTCCTATTTAGGGAATTTAAAAAGTAGTAGTCCTATTTGTGCTTTTAAGGAACTCATTAGTTCTATTTAGGACAATTTCCGTTATAGAATCATACTTAAACAAATCAGATCTAAGTAGATTAGATCAGACTAAAAAAAAGTGATTTTGCAACAGCTTTGCCTTTAGGGTCTGTTTGCAACAGCTTCTGTTCTAAAAAAGTGATGTTTTTAATGAAATGGGGAGAAGTAATTAAATAAAAGTTGATAGTGTTTGAGAAAAAAGTGATTTTGAAAAGTAAAAGTTGGTAGTGTTTGATAAAATAAGTGCTTTTGTGTTATAGAAAAAGTAAAAATATTTTTGACACGAAAGTCGAGAAAAATAAAAGTTGGTAGTGTTTGGCAAAATAAGATGGGAGCCTTTTGTCATTGGCTCCTCCCCACCCACAATGGGCCAACTTATGAATGGGTGAGCGAGTGGCCCAAGGGTAGCATTGGCTCGTGGCACAAGCCCAAAAATTCTTAAACAACCATGCACCTCACACACACATCCAATCACTCACATATTAGGTTGAATGGTATTCGGGGGCTCGAGTGTTCAGAAAACCCAAAAAATGAATCCAGTATTCCCATAACGAGTAATTACGACAAAATCATCAAACTCGTATATATGCAAATTCAATAAGACAATATAACCCACCAAATGAATACGCGATTAAACCTCACATAACTTCCACTCCAAAACATCCAAGAGTTCACTTTGCAGTTTTTGAAATTTAAAATAATGGTTGGAGCCATAGAAAGCCCTGTGATATAAATTTGAACAATGTTAGAGCCAAATATCAATCTCTATGACATACTACTATACTAGTATACAACCTCCATCCATATTTCAACCAATAGTTCCACGATGATGAAAAATCCCTTCAACCCTTATAACTTTGTCATCTTTCTTTTTCTGGATATCCCAAAAAACTTTGTCATTTTTCATTTTAATGAATGAATTTGTGGTTTCTATTATATCTCTCTCATCATAGGAAGAGGTCATCTCTCTCTCTCTCATCATATGGGGTGAATTTTGACACTAGTTCTATCATAGTCGACATCATGATTGGCTTCATTTCGTGGTTAGCCAGTGCTGCATCTCATCTTTTGGTCTAGCCTCATCGTAGTTCTTTAGGTTGGCAATTTCTGCCTTCTTGGTAGGAATATGGTCCAAATTGATTTTGTTGTTGTTGTGGTGGTTTTGTTGTTTTATGATGGTTCTTTCCTGTGCATTGGTGGTCCAATATGGTTGGTATCATCATCACGAAGAGGGGCCTATTACTCATCGCTACAACTCAAATTCGATTATTTCCCAATAATGGTTGAACCTCACAAGTCACATTCTTTTGTTTGATGTCTATTGTTCCACCAGTTTTGTCAAGGAGGGTCTATCTTTCTTCTTACGGGCTATGTAGAGAATGACATAGACATACATATTGTTTTGACTCCACATATTGTAGATAGAGGAATTTAGTCTTCATGCATATTGTATCGGCTCGCCCTCCTTCGAAAATCATCTTCATGCCCGAAAGAATTTTACGGAAAAGCTTTACTAATGAGATTTTTCTTAATATTTTAATATGAACCTTTTATCATAAAAAACGAAACCAACCATATAAGTGGGACCATGTTTTTTTTTTTAAAATCTCAGATTGGGATGAGTATGGGTCCACTAATCGCAATAATAATTTCCCACTCCTCAAATAATAACACCCGAAAATAACGAAAGTTTAGGCGGGAAGCTTTGTGAATTCAAGCCCGCTCCTTATTGGCCCCTTCGAAAGCACGTAGATCACTACCACAGGCCCTCCCCACCGTTGATTAACACCAAATCAACAATCGAACGACCTTCACCAACCAGCCACAGACTCTGAGTCAGCTATAAAACAAAAGGCGGAAGCCGAATTCTTCACATCTCAAATTCACGCCATTTCAACGATCTCTCTTCTCCCTATCCAATCCTTCACCGCTTTTCTAAATATCTTATAATGGAGAGTCAGCCGACGAAAACTAAGAAAGGCGCCGCCGGAAGGAAAGCAGGTGGCCCAAAGAAGAAGTCAGTCACTCGTTCCGTCCGCGCCGGACTTCAATTCCCGGTGGGAAGAATCGGCCGCTACCTGAAGAAGGGCCGGTACGCCCAACGTGTCGGAACCGGTGCTCCGGTCTACCTCGCCGCCGTTCTCGAATACTTGGCCGCCGAAGTAAGTTTCTAATCCATTTTCCGTCAATCCCGCCACCGTTTTTCTATTTTTCGTGGGTTATTCTAGATTTCCGTTCTCCGTCGTCTGATTTGATGCGGTGTTTTGTTGTTTACAGGTTTTGGAGCTCGCCGGAAATGCGGCCCGGGATAACAAGAAGAACAGAATCATCCCAAGGCATGTTCTGTTGGCCGTGAGGAACGACGAAGAGCTCGGGAAGTTGCTGAGCGGAGTAACCATCGCCCACGGCGGCGTGTTGCCGAACATCAACCCTGTCTTGCTACCGAAGAAGAAAGAGTCCGATGCCGGCGGTAAGGAACCTAAGAAGGCCGGCAAGTCTCCGAAGAAGGTTGCGGCTTAAACAGCAACATATATAGTTGTGGATTTGTTTGTAATTCCGGGCAAAATGATAAAGGCTCATATTTTCTGCTCTGTAAACGTTGGATTAGCTATTAATGAAACTTCATTTCTCTACTTACGGCGTTTTATTGTTTCGTTGATAGAAGATTGGGAAGAGATTTGTTGAAGAAATAACTTCGAACAGTTACTGAGCAATCATATAAACAAAAAAGTTCCTCAAAATGAAACGGATGTTCAATAATACTTGTACTTCTAATTAATGATGTATAGGCCTTAAAATGCAAGTGTTCATAATCATATACAAATAGATACTACAATGGTATTTACAAACAGTAAATCCATTCTAAATCTTTGCTTCACCTTATGCTAATTTTCAATATTATCATGTATGGCTCCCAGAATATTTTATTTAGTGGGACGCTCCCAGAAGAAATAAGAACTGCCCCTATTAGTTTTTCGTGCAACGAGGATACGGAGTATCATTTATTTTTTATTATGAAAACAATTTCCACAATTTTACAAATTAATGGACACTCTTTTACTTTTTATTCTTTATGCCTAACCCTTTAGAACAAAAAAAGCTATTAGTAAAACCATGAAATGTTAGGCCACAATTTTGCTGCTCTTCACTGTGTATTCTTTTGAATCCTAACTATGTATTGTACCCTTTCAAAAAAAAAACCTATGTACAATTGGGAGTCATTTTAAAGGAAATATTCGCCACATGCCATGCTACTAAGGATGTTTTCTTTTGGACTGTTTTCAGTCCCAGATCAAATCAGACCAGACCAGACTTGATTTCCGTAGTTATAAAATAAACAGAGACCAGCGTTTACCAGATCAGACAAGACCAGCAAATTTCAGTCCAAAAGAAACTATCCTAAAATGAATAGTCACATGTC